TTTTTTTTTTTTGTAAGTGATCATGTACAACACTTATTCTGTATAATATATTGCCTGCAATATAAGTTGCTGGTCGATGCTGTTTTATTTAAATAGTCATATACAGGACTCGTTTCCCTGTCCACATTGCAACAGGCTTGACATCAAGGTCTGCCACTGCCAGTTTGGATTTTCTTTTGGTAAATGAATGCCTTTGTGTAAGTTATCATGCCTATGAAGTCACTCAGCTTAAATAGTATGTATAAGAAATCCCTTGGTTTCTTAGTTAATGGATTGTTCATGATTGCAGTGTTTGTCCCTGTTCCACTTCCAGGCATCAACGACAAAAACATTTGTGTTAGCAATGGGAGGAGAGGCATATAATCGGTAAGATTTGTTAATTGGTCATTGGATCATAAAATTTCACACTTGGAAATCAAAATAACATTCGTTGTTAACAATGGAACGTACAAAGACATACGAAAGGAGGCTTAAAGTGACCCTGAAACTGTCATTGTCTCTTCAAAAAGTTTAGTTTTACACAACCTGGATTCAAGAACATAAACTGAAAATATAGGGGTTTGTTTGGTTTGTGAAAAGATCTGTCGTCTTTATTTTCAGTTTTCATAAATAATTATAAAAAGGTTACCTTATTTTCACTTTGTTTAGATTTCAAAATTTTGTTCAAGAACTGGTGTAAACAACATTTTGTTGTTTCTACCATTTCCTATACAAAATTTTGAAAGCAGGATACAAATCGGAAACAAGGTAACATTTTAGTTATTATTTGTGAAAACAAAAAAAAGGAAAACAAATTGTTTTCTCAAACCAAACAAACCGTTAGTTGAAACAAAAAACAGTGACTACAGTTATAAGAGACTCAGGTAAAAAGGGCCTCTCTTACTGCAAACCAGCCTTCTTTTCTTCCAATAGCAGCTATAGCTCAAGTTAATTTGACTAGTTGATCCCTTCTTTCTCTTATTTATATATATATGCCATTATCATAGCCTTTGTTTGTTATCCATCGTAAATTAGACTTTAAAGCTACCAGGCTTATCATTCTCTTCATATTTCCCTTCCAGTTGTATACTCTTGAACCACTTTGCACATGCAATATAAACAACCAAGTCTATTGATGTCAAGGCAGCTAACAGGAAGTAAAACCTATCTAGGTGACCTCTGTTTAAGTTTCCAGGGATCCAACCTGGCATGTGATCCTCGGTGGAGATCTTCATAACCATACTAACAAGTAAGCTACTTACGTAGTTCCCAAGGGAGATGGAAGTCATGCAAAGGGCACTTCCAAAGCTCTTTAGGCCATCTGGCGTCTGAGCATTGAAGAATTCTAACTGGCCTACATACATAAAAACCTCAGAAGCTCCTATAAGTGCATACTGAGGAATTTGCCAGAAGATACTTAGAGAGCTTGTGCCACTGCAGTGGGGACATCCTGGTTTTGCATACTTAAGCCTGTAGCATTCAACTATTCCTGCT